TCTACCTTTCCCCCAAAAAAAACACGGACACGCCACGAAACACGCAGGCTTCCGAACCCCTACAACAACCTAAAAAACGATATAGGAGTATCGACCAATAAGTATATACTCCAAAAAACGAGACACGATTATGTCGAACCATGATTGTATCGACCGACGCACCTCGAGCTCGGTGTGGTTGCTCGCGACGGCCATGGCGGCACCGGAGAGGACGAATGAAGGTCGAACCAACACTGGGAAACCCACACGGTCGGAGAAAGACAGCGCTTCCTTGGGGGTGCTCAGCAGTGCCCACTTCGGCTGTCGGGTGATAAGGGGATAGAGAGAGTGAGAGAGAGAGAGAGAGGCGCGCGCGGGGGGGGGGGGAAAGGGAGAGAGAGAGAGAGAGAGAGAGAGAGAGAGAGAGAGAGAGAGAGAGAGAGAGAGAGAGAGAGAGAGAGAGAGAGAGAGAGAGATAGGGAGAGAAAAAGAGAGCGACAGAGAGAGGGAAAGAGAGAGGGAGACACCGAGGGAGAGGGAGACAGAGAGAGACGGGGAGAGGTAACAGGGTTGGCGAGAGATATAAAGAGACGAAACGGTCAACATATTTCCGTATCCGGGTGTCGATCAAGAGTTGAAGAGAGAGAGGAGAACGTGGGCAACGAAAAGAAAGAGACGAAACGGTTGTCACATTTCCCAACCCGGGTGTCGAGCAGGGGGGACAGCCTAGGGTCGGCGAGGAATGGTAATAACACGAAACGGTTCATGTACAACGTTTCCCTATCCGGCTGTCGAGCGATCATTTGTCCCCATTGGTCGGCGACTGCTGCTGCTGCTGTGACGTATTTCCTCTGGCAGTCTATTTAGTTTAGTTACCTGGTCCACCCCGATGGAGTCCAGCATGGCGCTGAACTTGTCGCGGTCCTCTGCGCGGTCGATGTCCTCGGGCCTCGTGCCCAGGATGTTCACGCCAGCCTGCAAAAACAGCGGTGTTCAAAGCCAAACGAGCCATGTTCAACACAGGATGTTCACGCCAGCCGGCAAAAATAGTCATGTTCAGAGACAAAACAGCCATAATCAGCCGAACAACCATTATGAAAGCCAAAACAGTCATGTTCAAAAAGAGCCATGTTCAAAACAGGATTTTCACGCCAGCCGGTAAAAACAGCCATGTTCAAACAGACGATACAATAAATAGCCGTTGGTTGAAGGTCGTGCTCTTGGCGTTATACCAGTAGTTTTGAAACTCTGCCAAAACAGCCATGTTCAAAGAGGCGTTATCCATCAATAGCTGCTGGTTAAGGTCGTGCTCTTCATGTTATCGTCTCGCCACTCTGACAAAACAGCCATGTTTAAAAAGGCGATTGCAGTCAACCTCTTGGTGATATACGGTCTCGCAACTGAACACCATCACCTCGATCGATCATCACATACTAGAAGCAGACAGAGGTAGTCAACATGAAACACAGCATGGGAAACTCGTATCTTTGCCGACTTCTCGTTCCTTATTTCCTATGCGGGGGGTAACCCAACATCGAAAACCGTCAAGTATTTGTTCAAGGTGGGATTCTTAGCTTGAGCAACTGCTCTTACGGTCACGGTTGTAAATAATTACTCCTCTCTTCTTGTTTGTAATCACACGCGGGGGAACTACTTCTGAAACCTTCTCGCGCAAAAACTCCAGGCTTGCACCTGCTACTGTGGTCACTAGATGCACTGCTTGATGCTGGGCGCTTGTGGTTTTACCTGGCTCAAAGGCATGGCGAGGTTGTTCGGGATCTGTCCTCCCACGCTGACCACCACTCCCTCCGCCATCTCCCACTCGTAGATGTCCAGAACCCTCTCGAACGACAGCTCCTCGAAGTATAGACGGTCAGACTCGTCGTAGTCGGTGCTCACCTTGAAAAAACAAAAAGCGAAAAAAAAAAAAAGAAGATGGCGCATCAAGATACCGTCACGGGGATGGTCACACAATGTACACGATGGAAACCCTAACGAGAACGGTTACACATACCAACCCAACACACCGCGGATAAACCAAGTACATGCCACATCGAACCGAAACAGCGAGGCTGTCGAGAATTATCCGCCGAACCGATGGGCGTCTTTCGAACCAAACAAAAAGTAAATAATTAGAAGACAACCTACATGCACGCAATTATTAGTTCTCATCTGCGAACACCCCGACGGGGATCATCATCCAATCCAATCGGCTTCGCACTCGCTACAGTCGTCCTGCTGCAGTAGCCCCTCTACAAGCCGGGTATGTGCCAGGATGGTTGAGCAATCCTAGCGGGTACCCGCCCTCTTCAAATCAAAACACAACTTGGCCATCCATTCTGTCCATCTGTGCCAAGAGACGTATGTGACCGCCCAATAAAAAAAGAGGGCCCACGACTGCTGCATGGTAATAGGTGGTGTTTCTGGTATTCGGTCGTAAAAAAAAAAAAAATCTCCCAGTAAAAATCGAAGGCGAAGTACCGCAGGAGGGGTGGGTAGGGGCCTCAGGGAGAGGAACCCTTCTGTGTTACCAACGGTTGGAGTAAACGGCACAAGTGCTGTGAGCGCTGATTCGAAGTGAAGACAATAATATATATATATATATATAGGAGACTTACCGTTTCTGGGTTGTAATTGACGACGATGGCCTTGTATCCCATGGAGCGCATCTGCCTCACGCAGCTGACGGCGCACCAGTCGAACTCTACGCTGGAGCCGATGCAGTAGGCCCCGCACCCGAGCACCATGATGCCCTAAGTTGACGCCACGAGAGAGGCAGGTAGAGAGAAAGATAGACGGGGTTAGAAAACAACAGCAGTAACATTGATATCATCAAACATCACGCGATAATACCCTGGTCTTGTTTTTTGAGACTTTAATCTCAACAGTTTCAAAAACGAAGGTTCTCGGAAGTTTCTCTTGGAGATGTGCTACCCACTCTGCTACTAAGTGGGCGTGCTCCTCCAAAGTACGACGGCCTGCCCAGGTGCCTTGTGTCACCAGAATCGGACGCGGGAAACCAATCACAATTGCAGGTGACCTTTGGGAAGGTCCTCGAGCCCTCCAACGCCCGCCTTTCGAGGACGGCTGTTGCCCTCTTTCCACGTTGGCCGAAAAACACCCGGGTTCGAATAATTATCTCTTTTCCCACGCACAGAACCACACGCCCCCCTTCGGTAGAGCCTTTTGAAAAGGAACCGTGTTCGCGTTTCATATCCCGCTACAAGACTTAGACTGGCGTCTTTTCATTGGTCAGCCATTGAGCGCGGTCGATGCTGAGTGATAAGACACACACAAACTCTACTTCTTTTGTCGTACCATCTCCTCCCGTGTTCGCGTTTATCCCGCTACATATATAAGACTCACGTCTTTTCATTGGTCAGCCCGTTAGGGTGGTCGATGCAACCTAGAAAATCGACACACACGATCTACCTGTTATATTTTTGTGGAATGCGTACCATCCTCCGTGTTCGCGCTTTGTTTCCCGCTTTAAAACGGGCGACTATTTATTAGTCAGTCGTTTAGCGCGGTCGATGCAAACATTACTCGGCATTTTAGTTGAAGTCGTACCATCTCCTCCTTCTCGATGTCGTGCTCGTTGCCTCCGTAGGTCATGTAGAGGTAGTTGGTGCTGGCGGGGAACTCGGCCGCAAGGGTGTCCACCTGTTTCACGTACGGACGGACTCCAGCTGCCTGCCTCTTGCGGCGAACCTACCAACAACACACACACAAACACACCAAACATTTTTCGGCAAAAAAGGGGGAGGGGGAAGGGGGTCATCGTGTACAACACAAAGATCGACATCATATAAGCAAACCCGTTCTCTTTGTCAGGGCAGGGCCCGTGCTGCCTGTCTCTTGAGGCGAACGTATCGAGAACATCATCAACACACAAAACACATTTTACCGTCATGAGAAAAAGGGGAGAGAGGGTCATTGTGCACAACAACCGTAGACATGACTCGAAAGCACACCCGATGCTACCGTAGACATGGTTCGAAAGCACACCTGGTGCTACCGTAGACATGATTCGAAAGCCTACCTGGTGCTCGGAAGTGCTCGTGTAGCGTGCGATCTGGCGGTCGCTGAAGCCGGAGGTCTTGAGGGCCAGCAGTCCCTGTCGCCCGAAGCCCTCGAGCGTGCCGGTGGCCATCGCCACCTTCCAAGACGAAAGCATCAAGCATCAAGCATCAAGCATCAAACATCAAACGTCAAACATCAAGCATCAAACATCAAGCATCAAGCATCAAAGCAAACCTAATCACAATCAAACCATATCGGCGTGCATCAAAGCAAACCTAATCACAATCAAACATCAAACATCAAACATCAAACATCAAGCATCAAGCATCAAGCATCAAGCATCAAGCATCAAGCATCAAGCATCAAGCATGAAAGCATCAACACAAACCTAATCACAATCAAACCATGTGTGTGTCGTTCAGATGTCGTCACGCCCTCGTAGTCATTAGCCACATATTTCAGCACACCAACAAATAATGTCACCGACAGGCCGTGGGTTACGAAAACGTCATCACAAATAGCGAGTTGACAAGCACAGCTAGCTGTCGTGAACGCATGTTTTACATATATCCTTCGAAGTAGGTGGTTTGTATTTCAACTAGTTTTTTTTTTGGCATTTTTATGGGCGAAAAACTTTTTTTTTGTGTTTTTACGTGGTAGGGGCGAAGTAAAGGGCTGAGGCAATCCGCGAAACGCCAAAAGAAGGTGTGAATCAAAACACGGCACATCGATCGATAACAATAACGGAAACACGACAAACAAACATCGTGTAGGCAGTGCTGCTTGTGTGCGTAGAGAGGGAAGACGAGCACCTTCTTCATCGTTGCGATGTTCTTAAGCTTGGAGAGGAAGAAGCGGTCGATCCTGGTGAGATTGTGCACATCGTCCACGGTACGTCCCTCTTCCAGGGCCGCCTGCTCGGCAACAGGACATGAAGGACGTAGTCGTGTTCCATCGAGAACACGCACAAACCACAAATTGCTCAAAAACTAACAAGACAAAGATGATGCAAACCATAAGTGTAATACAAACCATAAGTGTAGTGTTCCATCGGTAACACAAGCAACGAAGAAAACACTTCCCGATCGCCAACACCAGCAGATGCATCATCTCGGGGGACGTACAGTAACGTTATCGCGGACGTGCACCAAGAAATACCCGATTTTCGGAAAATGTTTAACGCACCAGGAGGGGTAGCGACACGGCAGTGCAAACCACGAAAAAAAACATGCACGGGCTGTACAGCAGTAAGGTAGATTATCAACAACCCACGGAACGGATAAACAACCCGTCCCAGCGACAGTATCCGTACCATGACGGCGTACAGCCTGGAGTCGGTTGGGATCTTGAGCTGGTCGTTCTCGGAGGCGGTGGAGTCCTTGTCCCACTTACCCTCCAGCCCATCCAGGTCGGGATTCACCATCCTATGTAAACACAAGTCAGCACGTATGGGGGGGGAGGGGGGGGGGGGGGGGGGGCCCCGGGAAACCGTCGACTCTTTTTCCCCCCGGCCTCCAAAAAGGGGGGGGAAACCAGGGA